TGGTCCTTCAAATCGTGGAAAAAATTTGGCAGTTTTATCTTCTGGTGCTGAAGAAAGTGAATGCTTAATTTTTAATACTTCATCCCCTACTTTATAAGTTACTCCCCGTCGTTTCAAGCCATAATACAGCTTTTGTTTTCTCTGTGCTACTTCAGTATTCTTTTTTGCTTCTTTAATTAGTTTCTCTATATCACCCATTTTAAATTCTGGGGCTCTTTGTTGCACATAAAATAATTTATCTAACGGCGTTATAATCTTTCTGCCTAAAAATAACTCAGCAGGAGTTTTGCCCGTCGTATCATGTTTTGCGGTCCTAAGGGCGAAAGCAAATTCATTGACATAGTTATCCCAGCTTTTATGAAAATTTTTTAACATAACTAACTACGGATAATTTTCACTATATTTCTATTGACCCGTTCCGCTATATTTGATTGCGGCCGATATGGGACCATTTTTAAATGACGTATGCCCAGTTTTTGGCACATGTCTTCAAATACATTACTTACAAATTGAGGACCATTATCCGATATAACTTTTAGGGGCGCCCCGTATTTTAAAATATATTTATTTAAAATAGAATCAGTAACTAATTTCGCGGAGCCTCGTTTTAAGGGAACAATTTCGGTCCATTTACTAAAATGATCAACCATAACAAGGAGATAGCGACTTTTATTTAACTGACTTTTTGGGAAAGGGCCCAATAAATCGATGCCAATTATTTCATTTGGAAATTCGGATTTAATACTATTTAGAAACCCGGCCGGGCGGAACTTAATATAATTAACTGCCTGACATGTTGGGCAGGACTGGACATACGCCCTTGTTAACTTTTGCAGTTCAGGAAAATAGACTGCCTCGCGTACGCGTTGGACAGTTTTCCGAATACCAGCATGAGAAACTAAAGGGCTGTCATGGAGCTCCTGCAGGATATTTAATCTAAGACTAGCTGGCATAACAGGTCGAAATTCGTTGTTGGAATTCGTAGTTTTTGTATAGAATAATAGACCATCTATTAGTTCGTAATGGGCCGCCCTATTTCTTATCGCCACAATAACTTGGTGGCTAAAATTTTCAGGATCCTTTAAATACTCATAAATGCTTCCAAACTCAGGATCCTTACCCAGTTCGGTTATTACAGTTTCTCGGGAATTTATTGTACATGCTGTGAGCATTGCCACCTTTACAGTATTACCTTGTTCATCTATTTTAATTCTGGATAGGGCATCTGCTACGATATTTTCCTTTCCGGGGGTATGCTTGATTACCAGATTATATTCTTGTAGCTTGAGTGCCCATCTTATTAACCTTGGTGGATAAGTTTTTCCCTGAGTACAATCTAGTTACCGCCGCATGATCAGAGTACACTGTTATTGGCGCCTTTCCAAAATAGACTCGGAACTTTAGCACTGCTAACAGAACTGCAAGTGCCTCTCTCTCGGTCGCGGAATAGTTTCTTTGTGTTTGATTTAAAGTTCGGCTAAAAACTGCCACGGGCTGCTGATTTTGCGAAAGTACCGCTCCTACCGCATAATCCGAAGCATTCGCTGAAATTTCTAAATTCTCATCCTTTTCAGGAAATTTCAACACAGGGGCTTGCGTGAATGCTTGTTTTAATTTTTCGAAAGCACTATTGGCTTCGGCCGTCCACGAGAATCTTGCCTTTTTCCTTTTTAATTTTAACAATGGTTCAGCAATAGCTGCAAAATCTTTTATAAAGGACCTATAATATGAACAAAGTCCTAGAAAAAGAAGAGAGCTTCTTCGCGGTGTTTGGAGTCGGATGCTTTTGTACAGCGATTATTTTTGATTCTTCTGTCTCGATTCCTTTCTGAGATATTTTGTAACTTAAATATTTTAATTCAGGGGCTGCAAATTTGCACTTTTCGACATTAACTTTTAGACCGGCCTCATTTAATAAAGAAAATACCTGTCTTAAATCCTGTACATGTTGGTCGAGATTATCACTAGTAATAATGATATCGTCTAAATAGATAAATGTGGACTTTCCAAGAACAGGCCTTAACACAATGTCCATACATCGCTGAAATGTTGCCGGTGCCCCTGAAAGGCCAAACGGCATACGCGAAATGCATACGTGCCAGACTTGGTTATAAAAAAGCAGTCTTAGGCACGTCCTCAGGCCTAACCCCTATTTGAAAATAACCAGTCGTTAAGTCTAAAGTCGTCATATATTTGGTGGATGTTATGTTCCTTAGAATTTCTTCAATAATAGGTAACGGATATACCGGATATTTAGTTATGGAGTTTAATTTACGGTAGTCAATTGCGAATCTCCACCTTTTTGGATGTGTCAAAGGATAGTCATTATTTTTCTTACATAAAACCACCGGGCTAGCATAACTACTTGAGATGGGCGTTATGATCTTTTTACGTAGCATATCGGTGATATGCCATTCTATAATTTTTCCTTATTCTTATCATACCGGTATGCTTTGTGGCGAACTGGCATTGAATCTCCGGTGTCGATACTGTGGTTAGTAACCTGAGTAAATACTGGAATATCACTAAATAACGAAGCAAATTCACTTACCACTTGTCGGATTCTTCCTTGCTCGTCATTAGGCAGGTGGTCAAGATTAAACATCGGCGGTTCAGCCTTTTCTGCACGAACTGGTTTCATTGTCAGCTTAAGGGACGCTTCATTAAAATCCGGCGTTGCTTGTGCGTCTGAAAGAAAATCTATTCCTAAGATTATATGTGCTTGCAGATTCTTTACTATGAAAAACATAACCTTTACTTGTTCGTCCTTGATACGGACATATAGCGGTAATTTACGTATATACTTACATCTTTCTCCTTGCGCAGTTAACACTGTCCTATTATCCGAATTATATATACGATATTTCCGAAAATACTTCCTAAAAAAATCTTCTGCCACACAGGAACACTGGGCGCCTGTATCCAGGAGTGCGGTGGCTGGGATATTATTCACCAACACTTCAATCTTCGGAGGAGTCAAATTTTTCACCATTACTGTATTTAACTTGAAGGAAGAGGGGTTTTCGTGGCCTTCGGATTTCCGCACCCTCCCGTCAGCAGAAATCCGTTTTAGTTTAAATTATTTTTCATTTCCGTGCTTTCCTTCTTTTTCCACTGGCCTTGAGACTTTTTTCCTGGATTGCTATTGAACTGTCGACGTTCGCCGGCTGTTTTTGAATGCTCGGGTTTCCTTGCCCACTGATTCGCTTTGCTTCCGTAGCCGTGTGCTTGAGTTTGCTGTAGTCTTGGCGCACCAAATTGGTTTTGCTGTTGATATTGGCGTCTTCTTTCAATGTCCGCCGTTTTTCTGCTTTCAAACTGGATTGCTAGCTCAAATAACTTTTCCAGTGTAGTCGGATTTCTTAATTCAATAAAGTCTTGCACTTGGGGCAGTAACCTCGGCAAAATCACTTGAATTATCTCAGGATCCGGACGGTTTCCATACAAGAGTTTGAAGACGTGAATTTTTCTTAAAATAAAGCTTGAGAGATTTTCGATTCTTTGCTGATATATACTGAAAAGTTCCGTTTCTAATTTCGCACGATCCCTTACAACAGGAAAGGCTTTTAATAGGGCAGTCTTGAAATTTTCGTAAGTATAGCTGGGACTTCCTGCTTGACCCAAGAGACTTCTGCCTATATATATGAACCAATTAAGCGCTTGGCCCCTCAAAGCGCTGGTAGCTAAGGTAACTTTTTGAAACTCGTGCACGGGGTAGAGCATGAAGTGGTCATCCAATTTTTCCAAAAAACTGGTTACCGGTGAGTTTCCATTAAATGTTGCTTCTGGTTTCATCGAAGCGTGCATGGTCTGGACGATGTAACCAAATCCTTCCAGGGCGGCAGCTGGCATTTCTGGATTCTGAGCCGCTTCTGCAGGCAGCACAGGTTTTTCTTGAAACTCGCTCATGGTTATTCTTCTTCGTTGGGCGCCACTATCAGGTTCAATGTTCCGTCTTACTTTCTTTGGGAACATGCAAGGACCTGACTCGGAACAGAGAGCTTACTAAAGCTATGTTCAATAACTCTGGGAAGTAGACAGGATACACAAGAAGGGTATACAAAACCCTTTATTTTTCTCTCTTTACAATAATTTCCGTACTTCGGAATACAAAGACCCACTACTTGTGGTCTAAACGTAAGAATATAAAAATATAACTAAACTCTAACTTTGAAATAATAAACGTGGAAGATTGGCCTTATATTAAGAGGAAGTCGTATGTAGTACAGAGAACTGTTAACACTACAATACGTTTAAAATTATCAAGAGGATTAAAACCTCTGGCCTGGAAGGCAACCAGCAATCTGAAACTCGTAAAACTTCTAAGGTAAGCGGCCTGCTTCGACTAACTCCTTCCTCTCTCTCGCTTGGCAAAAAGCCACAACTTAAGTACTTGGCGTTCGCCAGACAAATTTTACATAAATAAGTTAACGCTTATAATTTTGGCTGGAAGTAGAAAATAAGAAGTGATAGTAAAGATTTAAAATAAAATAAACATTAGTAAAACTTAAGATCCTTACAATGTTGCTAGACAGTACGGCTTGAACAGGTCTACTGTAGGCACAATCCTAGCTAAGAAAGATATCATCAAGAAGACTCAAGCCGCTAAAGGAGTAACGAAAATTACATCTGAGAAGCAAAGAAGTGCCATCCATGAAAATATGGAGAGTTTGCTTTTAGTTTGGATAAATGAGTGGGAGATGAAAAGAGATGTAACTAGTATGGCCAATCATTCAAGAGAAGGCTAGAGAAATTTTTGAGAAATTAAAAGAACAAACTCCAGGTTCGTCATTCGAAAATCTAGAATTCAAGGCTATCACTGGCTGGTTAGCAAAGTTTAAAAGGAGATCTGGCATTAAACATGTGGTCATGCATGGTGTGTCTGCTAGTGCAGATAAAGAAGAAGCTGAGAGGTTCCGTCTCAAATTTCAAGAATTCATTGAAAAAGAAGGGTATCGTCCACAACAAATATCTAATTGTGATGAAACTGGTTTGTTTGCATGCCGAACCGTACCTACATCACGAAAGATGAGGAAAGTGTTCCTGGGCATAAACCCATGAAAGACCGATTGACGTTACTTTTGGGAGCTAACGCTAGTGGTGATATGAAGCTTAAACCACTTCTCTTTTATCACTCTGAGAATCCTAGAGCATTCAAACAAAATTCGAGAATCAAGAGAAAACTGCCAGTGATGTGGAGATCGAATCAGAGGGCATGGGTCACGCAGGTTCTTTTCAAAGAGTGGCTATTTGAAATTTGTGCTCCGAGCATCAAGGACTACCTTGATACCAATGACTTGCCATTGAAAGCATTGCTGCTATTGGACAACGCACCAGGGCACCTAAAGGACCTTGAAGATAACTTGCTGATAGACGTTCCCTGGCTGACAGTGCAGTTTTTACCTCCGAATACGAATTCACTGATTCAGCCAATGGATCAAGAGGTTATTGCAGGTTTCAAGAAATTGTTCACTCGTGTGCTGTTTCGGCGAGGTTTTGTAGCATGCCAATTCTCCTCAAAAATGACTTTAAACGTTTTGGATAGAAAAATTTGACATTCTCGAAGCTATTCGTCTTATTGAAAAGACGTGGTCAGAAATCACTCAACGACAGTTGGTTTCTGCCTGGCGAAAGCTGTGTCCATCCCTCGTTCAAGGAGACGGAGGTTATCAGGGTGGCACCCCTGAAATTATGGATGAATTTGTAACAACTGCGAGAGATCTGGAACTGGAGGTGAACGAGGATGACATTGAATAGCTCATAATGGAACATGAAGGTGACATGACGGCAAAAGAACTCCAAGAAATCTTGAATGAAGAACACCAAGGAACTCAGCGAAATGTGTTTCCTTCTGTAAAAGAGGAAGACGAAAGAGGAGCAATGCCGACATCTGCTGTTAAAGATCTTTCGGAAGAAGTGGGAGGATGTCAGAGCAACGGTCTTAAAATGGCACCCAAACCAAGCTGATGTCAATAGCGTTGCTGATCTCTACAACGACATTGTTATCAATCATTTCCTGAAAGTCCTGAAGGAGAGAGAAAAATAATCGACATTGGACATGTTTTTTAACGCCCAAAGAAAGTAAAAGGACTGATTAATAAGTATGACCCATATGTATGTATTATATTTGTAATAAATAAACTTACTAAGAAATTATACTTGTACATGACATTTTTTTTAAATTTAATTTTTAGGATATCCAGAACGAATTACTCGAATTCCCAATAACATATATGGTAAATCGGTGATCGGTTAACGAACAATTCGGATAACATAATCCATTCGAAGATTATGTTCGTTAACTGGTCACCCACTGTATATACTGCATATTCTTTCAATGCGTTTGTTAATGTATTACATTTTTATACACTACAAATAAAAATAAAAGTAGAGGGAAATAAATTATAATTTAAAACAAAATTTATAAATTTATAAATTACTCATCAAAACATGAAATTAAGTACATTAATATAGACATTAGTTTAAAAATTACAATTATAAATTAAAAGTATACACTCCTTTTTTATATTTGAAACAGGAAAACACCATATATATATTTTTCACTAAAATTAAATTAAGGAATTGCTTATCTGATAGATCAATAGCCAGCAGCCTATATCATACAGATATGAAAGCAAGCGAATTATTCCTTACTTTTAATTTAGGAGTTATTGCTGTCTTTGATGTGGATGTCCTGTAAAGTGTGGCCTTAATTGATTGATAAGGGTCCATGCTATAGGTTTGTTAAGTCGAAATAATCCAATAAAAGTAGAATCGTCAGCATCAAATGCGTTATTTCTATCGCGCAACACTCGAGTGTTTCGTAAATCGTAAATTAAAATATGCATTACGTACACTTCCAAAAACTATCCGTGACGTCCGTAGTCTTTCGTTTACTCTAAAGTCAGAAATTTAAACGGCAGCTACGACAGCTGACGGAAAAATTTCCGATGTGTCGGTCTCTGTAATGGTGGAAACAATGACACACGAGACTCGCTGTTTGTCGAGTATATCGGAAAAAAGCCTTGTTCTTCCGTCTCAAGTGTGCCCAGGATAGGTAGGGCCTTTAGTTGCTTAGTAACTGATATTGCGATTTGTAGTTCCTCGGGAACTGAGATAAATCGGAGTTAGCTTTCTCTTTAGATAACGCTTTGCATTGCTTTGTATTTTAGTGTTTTCAGTAGTTTAACTACTGATTATATTGCGTAATATTTTGAACGCTTGCACGAATATCTCTGAGGAAAATTTCAGCATTTTGTTATACTTCATTTGATAAGAATAAATTTTATTAACCATTTATTGGACTTGTGCATTCAATCTATTACGAACCTTTACGTATGCAATATCTTTAGAATAAGTTTGTTTTGAAAATATTTTATTGTTCTGTTGTTGAAAAGAGAAAATAGAGTTTAAGAAGAAACCGTTTGAATTTCTTTTGGCTTACCCAAAAAATGTACCCAACGTTAAGATGCCCACAAATGTTGGAGCCGGTGCTGACTCCAGTACAGGTTAATTTTGTCCTTGGATGTTTGCGTCTTGATTTAATGTGTTTTAATATGTCATGATGTTCCGACAAGTATGAACAAAATGATGAAAGTTCTAAAAGTCTTTTCATTGACCCACAGAACGAATCATCTCCTTATATCACTGCATTTGAATTAAGAAAATAAATGGAACTTTGGATCAAGAGCGCCTCTCTTCATTAACATTTCGATTCACAAACAAATTATCTGAGTAAAAAACGCCTCGGATGACGAACGGTGTCTAGAATTCTGAAAGTTCAAGTCGGAACTATGTGATTTCGAAGGTGTTTTGTGGTAACCTATGCGATATAATCAACGCTCAGGAACTTCTATAAACATCATTTTAATGCGCTCCATTACGTAACAGTTCAACTCTCATTAACAAAGACTTGCATCAAGTAACTTACAGGCAGAGGTGTCGTCTCAGAGCATGTGACGCATGCGGTGCGTGCTTATAAATTTGAAATTGTATGAAAAGAATGATTATTTTTAAACTCATTCAGGTATGAAAATCCCTATTAATTATTTTAAATATACAGATTTGCATTGCATCATCGATTTTATTTAGAACCAGAAATTCAAAACAGAACGACTTCCGCGTTGTTGTGTCTTCTCTATTTCTGCCTCTACATGCTAAGTACACTGGTGGATAGTTGCTAAGGACGGATCACAAATGGCTGTATAACGCGTTAAAAAGTAAGTGTGTTTGGATGCCAAGTGAAATAAAATAATACCAGAATAATCAGAACATAACAGTAAATCTAATTTATTGTGATTAGCTACAAAATGGCAGCTGTGAAACCTAACGGCTTTGAAAAGTGTTCAAGAAATGGTCATACTGTGCTGAATACGTAAAAGCGAAAAAATGCAACTACCGTCCGCAGGCATTCTGACAAAAGATGTCAATTCGGGATATTGTCGCCCACCAGCGGCCGAGCGGTAAAGTCGCTGAACACTGGTAGTTCGGTCCGAGGTTCGAATTCCGCGAACGGGTCGGCTGCATGGGTGTTTTCGTGGTTATCCCCATGTGTAACGTGTATACGAGCCAGTTTCACTTAGAAAGTAGTCCACGAAGGCATCCTTCCCCTTAGGCAGATAGCCCTAGTGTGCTTTGCCATAATTAAATACACCAACACCACACCACGGGGTATTGTCATAATGGAGGGCTATGTAAGGTAACATACGTCGTGTCATACTTCATACTTTGCACAGCATTATCCAACAGTTCTTGGGGTTATTTATCTCATTCCTCTGTCAGTGCCCAGTTGAGGGTGTCCTTGTGTATTGGAGAACATTATCTACTCTTCTCCAGAGCATCCCAAACATTTTCAGTGGGATTCAGATCTGGAGAACCTGCTGGCCATACGAGGCGTTTAATATCTCCGCTCTCTAGACACTCATGAGAAACGATTGTTCGATGACATGTTGCGCTATAGTCCATGAAAACAGATTTATCGCCGACAGCACCACGGAACATGTGAACATGAGGCAGCAGAACATTATTAATTAATCGTTGGCCAATCATAGTACCAGTTGCAACCACATGTACGGGCTTGCGGCCATTGGTCATAGTGCCGGCCCATGCCATGATACTGCATCTTTGATACTGGGCTTTTCATGGATATTTTCTGGGCGATAAGCAGTACCACTCTCAAACCAGATCAGTTGGTGTCTATAATTCGATAACAGACTGAACCTACTTTCATCTAAGAATAGTACACAAGCCCAGTTCTATTGAGTCCGATTATGATACTCGTTATACAATAGCAAACAGGAGGTACGTTGCTGTCTGGACAATGGAATGCACGCAAGACTGCGGGGTGCAGTCCGCCTTGATGCAAAAATCTGGCTAAAGCTTTTCGGAAGATTTCCTTGCTACTAGCAACAGATAACTGATTTGCTACCTCAATAGCTGTGCTTCACCAACTCTTTTTGTCGATAGCACTATGCTCGAGTCTTGTGCAGGCGTCGCGCTGCGAACTTGCCTCCCTTCTGACGTTTCCTACACATTCCACTTGTTTGAAATACACTCGTTTGCAAAAAAATCGAAGCACCAAGAAGGACTTTTGCGATCATGACGAAATTTGGTGGGCAAAAACATCTTGATCGACCATGCAAATGATCGAAGTTTCAAGGGAAATGAACAGGAATTGCGATCATAGCACACATTTCTAGTGAGTAATTCGGAAAATATAAAACGAGTAACAGAGGCGAAAAATTTATCTTTTTTCGTTGCTGCATTTGTAATTCGGTAAAGAAACAACTAAAGATGCCATTAAAACAATATCGAGGCACTTCGAGTTCTTCTCTTCGCGCATGCGTCATAAGAATATCATCTCTGCGTGACTGCAAAAGAGAACTTTCGCCTTCAGTTTTTACAAGTTCATGTACGCGTTTTACTCATCGCTGAGATTCCTGTTATTTATTGCCATGTACGTATTTTGGTTAATTAAAGAATTTTTTTTCTAAATTGGGTGTCTAGCCATTAATCAAGACTCCAAACACACTACCTGTCTTACTGTATCCCGCACTTATGCTAATTTCCACATTTTCGTGCCTTTCATTTTGTGGTTGCTATCTCTGCTACTGTCATCTGTCCGTAGCAATTATCTACCAGTGTATATGATAGCATTATTAATGATGAAATATATTTCGCGAGGGCAAAGGGAAAACCTTATTCCTCATTTTTCTCCTGTAAAGTGAGGTGGCCGGCCAGTTTTTGCCCAATTGCGGCCAAGCACAGCATTTAAGTAAGAAGAAATTAGTATTCGTTGTTTAGCACTGAATTTAGCGCAATTTATACTATTATGTTTTAGGGATTACTATTATGTAAAGGCGAGTTTTCTCCCTTCGAAATTTACTCTCAAAGTTGTTCAGTTATTTCAAGTTTTTCAATTTAAGCTGGCTGATTTTATAGATGCTTATTCTTATTTCTGAGTTTCATTCAAAATCCCGCACTATAATGTATTAAACCTGTAATATTAAAAGAAAAAAAAATTAGCCCTAAGGGGAGTTAGCCCAGAAGGGCTATTATTCTCGAAACGGCATTTTGCGTCGGTTCACTATAAATGTCCGTTTCCTTTTTCAAATTGCTGCCACCAAATATTATCACCCTGTATTATATTTAAAGAAAGTAAATAATGAAGAATCTGCGCGAATGTATAATTGCGTGCATACGGGTTCGCAATAGATTGAATGCACGGAGATCCGATGATAGGTTAATAAAATTTATTT